GTGAAATTCAACCACTAACAAACAAGTACGAAAAAATATGTACACTATGCCATAAGCAATGAAATTCAAATGTTTCCGCAGACCCATTAGGAAATTTAGGAAAAATATTTATATTAACTGAGAATTCTTTGCGTTTATTTTCCACAGGGATTGCAATAATAAATTAAAAATTCAACACAAAGCGAATGTTGTTGTTAGTTTTTTGTTGTTCCGTTTCTTTTTCTTTTTTCGTCTTCTTTTTATATATTTCTTGCTTCATAAACATTGAATGCCTCTAGAAGTAAAGTAAAAAACTGTTGTATGTTGGTGCTGCTGGGGTAGTAAGTTCAGTTCAGTTGAGTTCAGTTTTGTTGAGTTGTGTGTTGTGAGGGGTTTGGTGTAATGTTCGTAATCAACGAATGTTCGTTCGTTTCGTTCATTTATTTACAGTAGCAGCAAAATCGTACGTACGATTTGATTATTAAAACAGAGAAATGTATATACGAATGTGTATGCACTTACCCAAGCATATGTATATGCTTACAAAGAGTGTACATCAGTGCGCTCAATACTGAAATGCATACATATAACCACTCACAATTTTTTTATTTAAAGAAACAAGAGCATTACATATACACGCACTTGGAGAATTCTAAGCTATTCAATACGTTAACGTATAAGCGCATTTGTGCTATTTGTTGTTAAGATTGTTGTTGTTGTTATTTTGTACAAATCCGAAGGGGGAGAGAAATCAGTTTGCTTACGTTTAAGTTAAGTCCCAGGCATGTGTTGAGTGTGACGCTCTCTTGTGTATGCATGCACGTATATAAATTAATGCTTGTTTACGTTTGTATGTGTGTATGTGTGTATGTATGTATGTATGTGTGTGTGTGTGTGTGTGTGATTTTTTAAACCATCATCATCAGCACGTGGGACAAGTGAGAAGGCGAGTGTTTAGACAACAGAAACATGTATATACACTCCTCACATATATATATATATATATATGCTTGTGTGTGCTTACGTAAATCGTCGCGAGTTTATTTTTACATTTTCATTCTACTTAATATTCTTCTGTTGACTTGAGTTTGAGTTTCATTTCGCTGTTGTATTTTTTCTCTTTTCTTTTCGTTTCTTTTTTTTTTATTCAGCGCAATTACTGGCGTTGAAAACCTATTTCTATATGTTTTCTTCTCTTTTTTTTTAATTTTGGTTTATTTTTATTCCGCGTTTGGCAAAATTAATGGTTCCTTCTTTACAAAAATGGTAATGACGCAGACATTAAGCCTATGATCCGGGAAGACACACGATACGAAATTTGATTAAATGTTTCGCTTAATAAATATTGAAAATCTCTAAAGCTCCGCAATTTATGATAATTTTTTTTTTTTGTATTTTGCTATGACAAATGGCATATTCAAATATTTCTTCTTTTATTGCCAACATAAAAACGGTTTGTAAAATTATTCCTGGATCAAGCAAGTTACAGAACATAATACCCCAGCAACAGAACCTACCAAATTGATCTTAGGAAACTTCAGTTACGCCAACACAATTGAACGTAATTTCATTTTTAAGTTTGATGAAGATTGGCATACCTCTCCAAAATATTATTCGTTACCTATAGAATTCCTCACATTGACGTTTACGTAATCACATCTTTGCGAGATGACCTCACCATCACCGTATGATGTCATCACAAAAAGAGCGTAATTGGCAGCCCCTAGCATGATCGGTTGTATATTTTGCTCACCATAACCCTTCAAGTTGCAATTGTTGTCAAAAATATACATATATTAAGGAATTTGCTACTTCGTGTAGCCGCTCTAAGAATTAAAATTAAAAATAAGAATTAAATTAGAAATTAAAATTAGGCCATTACTACGAAGTAGTTCATTACTTATTTCTTACGGAATTTTTGACATTAACACTTAATACGAACGATTCATCTTAATCGACAAACCCAAAGTGTTGCTGGCGCTCTTCCAAGCCTTTCCAAGAATATATATCCTGCTTATTAGGAAATTTCAAAGTTCATAGCAAGATAAACTTCATCTGCCTGTTTTTTATTTTTGGTTTTTGTTGGTTTTCTCACATAACACTACTACTTAGCTATTGTAATGGAAATAGATATCTTAATCATCATGCCTGAAGATCTGGATAGTACTATACATAATTTTTACTCCCAGTTCTTTTCATCCATACAGCAGTCATATTTACTTTATATTTTTACCTATGTCTTGCCTCCATCAAAGTTTACCTCTTCCAAAGTTAAGATAAAAGGTTTCGAGAACTTACTTCAACGTTTGTCAAAGCTAAAATGCCTGCGAAATGAATTTTACCCACATATTTTGACCCACACAGCGTGTTTAAACTTGTTTTATTCGTCAGATATTTTTAAAAACACAGGGAATCTACAGATCCTCTATAATGCTTTAGAGACAAAACAGCATTAAAGGATTTGTTGCCTATAAGTGAATTGCTCTGTTCTCCATATAAGTTAAATTTATTTCTTAAACCGTATATGTCGAGCCACAAGCGTGATTACGAGGCTTAAGGGTGAGGAATACGATTCCCAACATATTGTGGTGAATTTATATATCGAATCGATATTTTGAGCTAATCTCTATTATCAAATACTAAGCTTTGCCGTCATATAAAAACTAATTTTCTAATTGTTCACCGGCATGAGGTTAGCTCGCTGTACGTAGCCTACGTGTTTGTCTTTGCCAAAAAGATAGGCTGTCTTCGTAAGTGATCGTAAGAGCGGACCATTTTCAATAGAGTTTTACTCTTCAGCGCAGATTTCACCACACACTCGATGAACTGATGCAGACCCATTGTGATTGTGAATCCATTGCTATAGTAAATTCTACATTCTATCTAAATGTTGCATATGCGCGCACAAGCTTAATATACCCTTGCAAAAGATAATGTAGGCTATAAAAATTTGGAGAGTTTTTATTAACCATATATGAGTCAGAGAGATATGTCTATGTACGATAAATGCTGCTTACTGTTAGTAGATATTAGTGGATTATATTTCACATAGAGCTTCTCTATTTAGGTTTGATATGCGTGTTTCAAGTGGAAAGAATAATATTTTTGCAAAGACTCAGTTTTCATTTCTACGAAATCTGTATCAGCTGCATTTAGCGCCGGATCTTACGTACGTAAAAAAGCTTGCGTTCGCTATTGCTGTCATTGCTTGGCCCATTGTAAAGTAAATGACAAAAACACGCCGAAGCATTGTAAAAAGCCAAAAACATCGTTCAACTCTTTGAATTTATGTTTCGCCTGAGAATCGTTAAATTGTGCACTTCTTCTAAATTCCGGGATTCTAATGTATCCTAAAAAAAAAAAAAAAAAAAACAAGAGAAGGTTGAAAATGTTCATCAGTAAAAAGAAAAAATGACAGAGAAAATAGTAGCAAAAAGTTTCTTAAGTACAGCATTTTCAATATTATCTGACGTATGCAATAACTCTTTAAAACTTTTCCATTTGCATAAACACACGTGCATTTAAATCCATATTTGAACGTAAACTACGATCTGTGTACAGGCATTAATCCACTTACACTTCGTCTGCGTCTTATTAATCCAATCATACACTGAAACATTAATTTGTATATATTCGTCCGTTAATATGAATGAGCGTGTGTGTATGTATATCTGCTTTCCATATGATTACATATGCATGTTAGTTTGTTTGCTTGTTGATTAATCAACGGTGGTTATAACATGTACGGCATGTTTAACGTGCGTTGGCACGAGCGTGCCAGTTAGCCGGCCAGCCAGCTAAGAGTAAAGTGGAAAAAATTGAAAAAGACAAAGTAAATAAAAATAAAAAAACTAAAAACAACAACAACAACAAACGCAGTAGCATTAAAATTGATATTTTTAATTAACGCCAAGGCCAATACCAGCCACCAGAGATATACACGTAAATGGACGCAAACAAACATGAACGCAAACTCACTTACATGCCATTTACGTTGTACGAAATGCAAATTCTTCGCGTCGTCATTATCGTTGTCGTTTAAAGTACTTCATGAAAAGTGTACGTACTACAAACTGATGTGTAAGTAACAGCATAACAGCACAACAGCACAATATGACAACATGGTGTCATGGGAGCTATATGGAGTTCTTTAAAATTGAAGGAGGCAAAGAGACAAATATTATGCAGAGAGATAATATTAATCGTATATACAACTGCTCTCTATACTTACTTTATTTAGTGTGTGGTGGGGCTGATAACCTACCTATTAAATGCACTTATGGGATGGTTTTAAAGATTTCATGTTCAACATGGGTTAGCAACACTACAACTCTCTCTTGTCTCAATTTAAATAACGATAATGCGTGCGTGTGTTTGTTTATATAGAAACAAATCGTTTGTTTCGCGTTAAAACGAAGCAAGACAACACCCTAATGATTATGTATTTGCTAACGGGCAACAACAAAATGAAGAGCTTCGTTTACGTTCGTAAACAATCGTTTATAAACGAAGTCTTGTAAAAAGTATGGCCAGCCAATCATATGTGCGCAATAAAAATTGAGGGTTAGGCTTAAATGTGTGAGTTATGGCGGGAAGCCAGGCAAGCCTTGTACGCGAGTGTGTGCTTGTGTTTACTCTATGTGTCATATTCTCTGTGAATTTAACATTTTAATGCAGTTGCCATTGCACCCGTTAGGCGGCCACATAGAAATATAACAGCACGCAACGTAGGAATGAGTGAGTGAGAGGGAGAGAATCGTGCTTTATAATTAAACGAGCCGAGCAAATGAACAAGAAAGAGTAACGTTTCGCATAATACAAGCAAACGACAAGAGTCTAATACATCGAAGAAGAGGAAGCAGTGTAAAAATCAGTTTAACGTCAGCGCAGTGCTTTTTAGTCTTATTAGCGTGCTTTTAGTGTGTTTTCAGCGTTTGTTTGCGTGACATTACGTTGCGGATATTTCCGTGCATTATCACTGCTGATAAATCTAAGTTTTCCGTTTCGCATTTTGCGGTAATACACGAATCGATTTTTGTTTCTTTGCTTATATTTTGTTTTTGTTTTTTTTTGCGTACTTGTTCGTACTTACAACGCAGACGGAGTGTGAGTGTACGTAAAACTAACAACTACAGCAACTACAAACATTCCCTTCAAAAATAGAAAAGTGCAATATGTGCAGTAAGAAGAATAAATATCTTTTGCTGTGTTTGTGTAAACATTAAGTGAAAATTTGTTAAAAATCAATAAAAATTTTGAAATCTTTGTACGCTCGCTGAATAAATAAAAGCCGGTTAGTAAATCTACATTAATATAATTCAAAATAATTGATATATAAATTATCAACGAAAGATTTTTTATAAAATTTTTATTAAATTTCATTTATCGATTTGAAAAAAAAAATAATTTTTATTGTCTATAATTTTATGACTGTATTTAAAAATTTGTTAAGTTTATTATTGTTTGCTTGTCGGTATAATTTATTTTTATTTATTTATTTATTTATCTTTTTTTTTTTTTTCCTTACAATTTTCACTGCAATCGTTGTCCGTTATTTGAAAAGCAAGGCAATGGGAGAAAAATTTCACTTTATTGTTTTTGGAGAGTCGGATTTCGCGTTCGCATGTTCGTGCGCTCGTTCGTTCGTTCTTTGATTCGTTCATCAGAAGTAATCATTGCAATCATGCTGCTTATAGCAATTGTTTGGTGGGGATCCAAGCAGGGTGGTGATTGTGTCAAAGCACTGTTTCATATACAATAAAGCAATTATGAAGATTTCAAATAGAGGGAGAGAGTGAGAGCGAATAGTGGTTTGGTTTGAGTTGATGGAAAAGAGGGATAAGTGAGTGTTATGTAAATCTCTTATAATTTTATTTTATTTTTTTTTTTTTTTAAGATGGACACGTGACATTTGTTGTTTTTCTTTTTTCGTTTTATTTGGTTAGCTTACAAAACTCTCTTTCGTATTGGAATTTACAATTTTTTGGCTTTACATATCTAATCAGAGTTGCCAATCGCCATATAATCTAATTAAGATGTAATGGTTAAGGTTTCATATAATTACACTTTACAAGTATTTTAATTCATTTCGATTTAATTCAAGGTGAACAGAATCTTTTTGGCAAAAACAGGGTGCCCGCACCTTTTCCTTCCAGGTAAATTCTGACCGTGTCGAAAAATGAACCTAATTCTCTTCCTAGCTTTAACTTAACCTTAATTCCTTAGGATCCACCTTAAGTGAATCTTCAATTTCCTCGCATATTTGTCTTCTAATGAGAAGGAGTTTTTCTTTCCATGCACATCACGTCTTTTAAGGATTTTCACCTGAATCACCAGTGAGTTTCATTGAATGACGTAATTCTTGCTGATTTAGTAATATTTCCGTTGTATTTGCGAGATCTTCCTATTCAATATCATTCCAAATATTGCTGAGTACACGTTACTTTGATACATGCTTGGACGCAACTGTATCATGTTTGCTATCATTTGTCTCGCTATATGTAAATATATACATTTTTTCTAAATTTTTTTTTAAGCCCCATATATATGCATATATATACCCCTGAGTGGCCGAGTAGACAAAAGGATCTAAATTAAAAGGTGTGATGGACTTAGATGTTAGTGCTTAGAATTTGTTTCACTGATATCTCAAATGCAATACAAAGCAACAAATATGTTGCGGCTGCGCCCAAACAAATATTAAAGTGGAGCAAATTCACAAATTTACAAAGAGATAAATAAAATAGTTTGTAGCCTCTTTTCTATTCCTGGTAAAACATAATTTAATATTTTGCATACGTTTTTGTTTAACTTGCTTTCGAGTCCGACTGTAATGTGGCAACCGATGTTATAAAAGTGGGCGGGGGTAGGTTCATTTTGCATCATAGGTTATGGCAACTCTGAATTTTCTCCAAATTTAATACATCGTGCGTCGAACCTTTTAGCATAGCGTTAATTTTCATGTAGAGATTTTTACTCTCGTGTGAATTTTTATTCTCTTTCACTCTTTATAGCTCTTCGTTTTCTCGTGTTTTTCTCATTTAAAGAAAAATCGCGCGCCTTTTTTATTTTCTGTACATTTTCATATCATATGGAATAGATACAGAAATTTACGCTAGATACAGAAACTGTTGTTGGTTAAATGTTATTACGCACACAAACACTTATCCATATATATATCTATACATCTGTAAACGTATACTTTGATATATGTGAGTTTACATGGCCAGTGTAAGCTAGATAGATAGATGTATTAGTATAAATGAAAAAGGTTGCAATTATTTGTCTGTCTGTCCCTCCCGTCTGTTATTTGTATGTACATTACATACATGGTACGGTTGTGTGTATAGGCCATAAATTGCTTTTTGGCAATCTTAAAGCTTTGTCCGTTTCAGTCGATTTTTGGTGGCTGCTGTGTGGCGGACATTCAACATTGACGGAGCAAACGAATCACGTTGAGTGAGCGCATTTCGTGTTATCAGTGCGTGAAAATATTTAATGTGTAACAGTTTTTGTTATTATAGTCTTATTATGTGTATTTCTCTTATAGTGCGTATATGTATGTGAAATTTACAATGCAAATGTATGGCTGCGTCAGAGTGTTTGTGATTATTAACCACCCTCTTGGTGTTTTGTTGTGCAGAAGATTAATAACACAGAAATTGTGTTTTGCTTTCTTTTTCTTGTTTTTTGTTTTCTTTTTGTTTTTTTTTGTTTTTTATTTTTATTTTTTTTTGCTGTATGAGAGTCTAGTTTGTCTTTTTATTCGAAGAGTTTTGCTCTCCATTAGGTACGTAGATACATACACATCTTGTTTCTTTGAATATTAAAAGTTAGTTTTTTGACCAAATTACGTTAGAGAAGATATTTCCTCGCGTTTCTTTTCCTTTACTTACGCTCGTTTATATTGAAAAAAAAAAAAAAGAAGCGAATTCGCATATTTTGTCGAATAACAAAACACAATTTGTTTCGTGCGGGTAAGGAAGGTAAGGTAAAGGAAAAGAAGTAGAAGTTGAAAACAAAACAAAACAAAACAAAACAAAAATACACTTGTGATGATGGTCGGTCGGTCGGTCGGTCGGTCGGTCGGTTGGTCTTATAGTCAAGTCGGTTCAATACAAAGTGAATTTATTTTGCCACTGTTTTGACTGAGAAGAAAGAATCGCGGTTAACATCTGAATGTTTGTTCACTGTTGTTGTTATTTTTATTTACTGCACAAGTTGATTGAAAAAGCCGGTGGATAAATTGTGTGTGTGCGCAAGTATGAACGTGTAATGGTATTGCTAAAAGTGCGTGTAAACCATATCAAGCTATCGTCGAACTCAACAACAACGGCATAATCACGGTATAATTTTCCGCATGCTACATATGGTAAATACATCGTCCACTCGTCATTAGCAGCCGCAATAGTAACAACAACAATGACAACAAATTACCATATCAAACAAATACGGCATTGAACGGTTTTCATATTTATACGTTTGCTTGCCGTATACGTATACGTATATGTGCTCGTTTTAATGACGATTATACTTCGTACATGGCTGTTTATTAGTACTATTTAGATGTTGTGGAGAAATGAAAAATACAAAAAAAACAAAATAATTGTATCTCTCATCCAGCATTTAATTGACGTTTTAATAAATCGGAATTTATAGCAATTGCTTGCTATGTGTGTGCGGTGTTGCCCGTAGAAAAAAAATGTGTAATAAGTTCGCTACGCTTTTAGGGCGATACGATCTCTTCATTGGTTTAGGTTCGAAATTTCTTGTAGCATAGGAAAGTCACAATAATTGAAGTGGAGGACAAATTATGATTATAATAGAGAGGGGGAAGCGATGTATAATAGATCGCCATTACGATCCGTTCTCTTACTTGCAATCCGAACTGAAATGTACGAGACCTACGAAGGACAGTCATATCACTACGTTCTCTGTTAATGTTAGTTATTTATTTTATCATTATTATTATTGTCGTTGTGGTGGAAATTGCATACTCTTTCAGATTGCGTACCATTCTCAAGAATAAATTCGATAAAACACGTGAAAGGTGTGCAAGAAGTGGCAACACATGTAAATGCGCCTCTAATCAGTAAAAAAATACGACAGCTTGATTACCAATTAATATTTCCATTCGTTATCGTTTATCTATATACGGCAACAGTATCCTATCATAATTATCCTAACTACGATGGTAACAAAGTACTCCGTCTCTTAAAAGACTCATGCAAATCCGGCGAAGAACATAGCAAGAGCTTAAAATAAAAGTCATTTAAAAAAACATCATGGACGCCATATTTGCTGCGTATTTAATTTACTCTTATTGATAAATGAGTAGAGTATTCCGCTATTGAAGTTCTCAGTTAGCTTGAATGGGCGACATGGGCAGATATTTTGCATTGCTTAGTATAATAAAAAGGGGGTCTATCGCAAGTTCTTTTGAGTGTTGTATACATTCGTAACTTTGCACCAAAACTAAGTCAGAAGCCACCATTTGCTCCGAACTCCCGTTAAATGTTGGTAAACTGCTCTACACCACAGATCCGGCCATTACGCCCATAGGAGGGCTAGCCTAAGCATGTACAAGACATTTTGGGAGAAATACGTACGTGTTTTGTTATTGATGGTGCGGATCGGATCACTTGTTTTTATAATGACTTTGGCTAGAAAAAAGTTTATCGTTTACTTTATCTCTGAGGATGATGAAGGGTACCCTCACGGCAAAATGGATCCGTTAGGTGTTTGTGTCTATCCGTTTGTAGTAATCAATTTGACGTTAGTATATTGCTAATAAAAAAAACTAGGAATACAATATTTTTACATGCTACACATTGCAGCGGTAGTGTGAAAACATTCAACTCATCAGAGTGTACTAAGCTTCATATGAACATTTTTTTCCTTATTATTATTATTATTTTTTTTTTTTGAGTGAAATTACCGCACATTGGCGCTTAGCCAAAGTGGAAAATTTCTGGTTTCGCTTAACAAAGCCAATATTTTTTGTAGCTTTTTTCAAAAAATTTATGATTAATTCGCAGGACAATACTTGGGGAAAAGAAAGAATATACGAAAACCGCAGACTTGTGAAATATGATACATCATCCTTAACTTTCTTGAAAAGGCATAACAATATGCCTTGAAGTCCAAATTTTGTTGTTTTTGCGGTGTAGCGCATTAAAATACTACTTGCGAAAAGTTTTTGTTTTAATAAAAAGAACAGTTAGATAAAGGGTACGTTTAATTCTTAAATATTGCTTACAAGCAGTGCAATGGGTAACCGTTTTAGTAATGTTTTCATTTTTAAGGACTTTTCGCCAAAATGATGCGGTGCTCTTAAAGGGGAACGTAAGTAAAAGCAGATAGCGCTTCTGCACTTCCTTTAGACCGGGGACTGCATTAACTCTAGACGCAACAGCAATGAGATGTAATTTCTCTGTTCTTATATTAGTTTGATGCGAAGGCAACATGTCTCCCACGAATCTAAAACTTCCGCCATTTCCATTGAACGTATTCTTTTGTGTATATACTTGTGAGTAGCTTGTTCAGTTCTTATAAAATATTGCTTTCAGTGGACACAGTATATAGTGCTAATAAAAAAATAATTTCTATACCTTACATCACTTGTGGTACAAAGGTATTAAATATGTGGACGTGTATGAAATGCACAGCGATCGATTCGGTGTCACTTACTGTATTGGTCAAAACTTGCCTGTCTCTTTGTTTGCCTTGTTATCTTATGTTCAACCTTCTGATGAACATTTTCGGCTCAAGGACAAACGCTATTGAAAATGATTCTAAGAGTCTGAGTTTTTTGAAAAGTCCTATATGAATAACTGTAGGACTGTATAGGGTACACTATAGTATTTTTAGCTGTTTTGTCTGCTGTTTGGATGCACCGTACAGAATAAAAAGTATATTTTAAGCCTGTCAGTAATAGCTTTATAAGTCTTCTCCAACATTAAATGCCTGAATAAGGCAGTACTATTATTGTACTAGTATTGTAGATATATCGTAGATTTCTAAAAAGTCATGTGCTTGCTCGACCTACTACAGAGACCGTTCACCGGCATGAAGTTAGCTTTTACTAAAAAGTGAACTATGTTTACTGATTCGTTTTCATCCTAAGATGTTTGGAAAACATTGAAAAATGGGTTATAAAATTTGAACGAAAATAAGAGATGTGCGTAATATAGGTGCGTGATATTATAAAAAACGTGAGCAAAACAAGATACATTACTTGAATGAAAATTAAAATATGCCATATCTTAAAGGAAACGCCTCCCCCAAAAGCCTTAGTTCATTGTGATACCTTTCGGGGCACAATGGCGGAGAAGTTTTGCTTTACATGTCGTGCGTAAAAACGTAAAATCATTTCTTTGACTTTGTTAAGACAAGGCGACCTAAATATATGCCTTTGGAACTTCAACCCGAAAGCTTCTTTAACCGTGTTAAAACGAATAAGACCGTGTAAAAAGAAAATTAAACTCATTTTGCTGGATAGGGTTGAATGTGAACAACCAAGAAGAAGAGCTCTGCACCGAAAGTAACTGACTGTTCGTCACTCATGTATACCAAAATTTGTCAAGGGCTTAATGCGAGGGCGTGCCCTACTCAATTACGAGCATTTTTCGCCAATTTTAGCAACCTTCAACAGCTAGAAGAGCTTCACTACACTGATTTATATTAAAAATTTAAATACCCTGCAAATGTGGACGTAAGATAATCATCTGTCACTTTTTAAAGGTGATTGTCTTGGAGAGGGAAGAAACTCAATTATACTTACCTGTATATTTGGCAAATAATGGGCAAATAAATTTAAGAGCGAAAGCTACAAAATGTTTTGGTCGTAAGCAAAACTTTGAAAGTATAATATTTGCTTAAGTCCATAACACTTCAAAAATAACGCGAAAATGTTCTTTAATACCTATTGTAGGTCACCATATCATCGTCATACTTGAATTGAAGTGCTTTGTTTGCCTATTTCTTTTACATCGCATACATCTACTTGCATGCATGAACACATATACGTACTCACTATACAGCTATCTATCTAACTCGGGACATAATATGGCGCAACTACTTCTCAGAGCCAAATAACCGAAACAAATCTAACGAAAACTCTACACATGAAGCAAGAATGAAGAAGTACAACGCGTTTAACTATTCTCTGTACATGCACATAAACCTTTTCTCTACACCGTGTGTTGGTGTGTGATATAATTTTCAAATCACGTTTTGCCTTAATACCTTTTTTTTTGCTTCATATACTCTGCCTTAACTTACTCTCTCATTAATCAAAGGCAAAAATCAGCGAGAGAGTGAGCAAATTAGTGAGACAGAGAGAGAGAGAGAGAGAGAGAGAGAGAGAGAGAAAGAGAAAGAGAAAGAAAGAAATTGCGAATGAGAATAGAAGACAAAAGGGTTTTCATACATTTCATGATTTCTTTTTTTTCTTCTTCAGTATGCATAAATGTGACCGGAGATTTTACGAAACGAAGCCGTCCTCGTTACTTTTGCCAAAGTTGAACTACAATAGTAAAGTAAAGTACACTGCGAATGTGCATATTTGGGGTATGAGTTTTCATAAAATCAAAATCGTATTGTAGTGAAAGGGTCTTTTTCTCCAAACAATGGAATTGTTGTTTCTCGAAAAGAGAAAAGTGATTAATTCATGAAATTAATATACGTGTAATTTGCAAGCCTTTCCGCTTACCACCGACTGAGCGAAATAGAGTGCGAACGTGAGAACGAACCTCAGTGACTTTAATTATTATTTTTTTGAATATTAAGAAACAAGACACAATAGAATGTTTGTTGCGGAATAAAAACTCTTCTTAATAATTTGTAATTTTCGCAACTTAAGTTCATCTGTTGTTTTTATTACTGCATTTCCTCGACTAACTAACTGATGATGCTCTTGTTATAACTGCCGTCAGCGGTCCGCGCGGCTGTCTACTTAGTTAGTTAATTCTGTTTTGGTTTTTTTTGCCCAGTTGACTGGTATTAAAGGTGTATTTTTTTTCTTAGGACTTTTTTAAAAAGTGTTGCTAATGGTTTAATGATGACTTTTGACATAAATTCATGGCGACGTTGTCGTTTTTCCTTCTTGCTGAAGTTTAATTGTTTTTGAAGACAGCTACGAAGCTTTTCAAGTGATTTTTCTATTTTGCTCCTCTGATTATCTTTCTTTTCTACATCTTTTGGTAAATGTGCACTAAAAAAAGCCAAAAGGTCAGCTATAAAATTGTAATTTTTCATTTTACTTTTGTTTACGTTTTGGGCGAGAAAATGATTGTAAAGATGTCCGCGGCTAAAAATGACTTTGGATGATTTGATTAATTTATGTTGGAAAGAAATGTTTTCAAATTTTTAATTCAATAAAAAACTCTTAAAAAGCCAAAGGAATTTCTCAATTAATTTCTAATTTAATTGAAATTTTAGCAAAAAAGCTCAAGATGTAATAAAATAAAAATACACAACTTTTTTTGCTAATACACTCCACAAACTGAAAGGATTTATGTGCATAAGCAGACATGAATTTCAACACCCACCACCCACCATTCACCCA